ACTGGTCCGTCGACATCGAAAGCCAGACTTGCAACCGTTAATCACCGAGATGCCCAAAGCCCGCGGACGAAGGCTTCGCTGGCAACTTACCTTTGAACTTATCCCCTTTGTCGGCACCCTCACCCTTACTCCTGTCCTTTCCCGAGGCTCCACTCGCGGCGGGCGGCCCCAGCAGCCACTTCCCACGGGGCCCCTCGATCCACGGCGGAGTACTGCCAGGAACAGGGCCAGACGGGCAATGACCATTGCAATTGGGTCGCCTGCATCGCCTACGGAAATCATAGTTCTGATACCCACACACTGCGCAACCCCAACAGGGCATGGACATAGCGCACGGTTAAAAAATCAATCTAAAACCTCACTTGACCCGGTCGCGAGGAGTCGCAAGCGGGGGGCGCTGACCCCCCCACGCCAGTAAGGTCAAGTCCTGAGCCCGAAACGGCTACGGACTTGAGCCAAAATGGCTACAGATGGGGAGGTCCTCCTCCTCCTCCTCCTCCATTCCTCCTCCTCCCTCCTCCTCCTCCTCTCCTCCTCCTCCTCCTCCTCCTCCTCCTCCTGCCTCCTCCTCCTCCTCGCTCCTCTCTCCTCCCTCCTCCTCCTCCGCTCCTCCTCCTCCTCCTCCTCCTCCTCCTCCTCCTCCTCCTCCTCCCTCCTCCTCCTCCTCCTCCCCTCCCTCCTCCCTCCCCCCCTCCTCCTCCTCCTCATCCCCCCCCCCCCGCCCCCCCTCCTCCTCCTCCTTAACGAGAACCTAGTCATCACAGCAGCAATTCGCCCCTGTTGCTCGATCCTGGGTTCGGCTTAGGGCGAAGCGATGCATTTCGGGGCCCTCACGCGGGGGGGGGGGGGGGGGGGAAAAAAAAAAAAAAAAAAAAAAAAAAAAAAAAAAAAAAACAAAAAAAAAAAAAAAAAAAAAAAAAAAAAAAAAAAAAAAAAAAAAAAAAAAAAAAAAAAAACATTCAACTATCTGGGGGGCCCCTGGGGCCACAGCGGGCGCTGAGGCCCAAAATTAGTGACGCTATGGTTTTCGGGTCTCGCCCTCCTACCCATGGCAGCGGCGGCGGGAAGTTTGCCCATCAACACTGCGGACCAAGGAGTAAGAACCCCTAAGCACAGGCCCTGCTTGGGGAACGAGGTCGCAGGAGCTCGCCCACAAGCGGAGCTACACCAGCACCGACATCCAGCGACGGAAGAGCCCATGCGCATCACCAGACCCCCGCAGGTCGATGCCTACAATCACGGGAATAAGCGCCATCCATGATAATGACCTCTGCGCATCGCGCCTCGCGATGCGATGCGCGACCATCTTCGCGACCTCGCGCCGCCGCAGTGGAGAAGAGCGCCAGACCGACCCGCGATGCGGCGCGAAGCGCGATTATCTTCGCACCCCTCGAAAGGACCTAGGTTACGCTGCAACGATCCTCCTTCTGTATCTCCTCTGCGCCTCCACCTCCCCATCCTCCTTTCCTTCCTCCCTTCTCCCCTCCTCAACTGGCGGGCGCCTGTTGACGTGGGTGTCCATGTCCGCGACGCGCGGCATGGCCATCGCCTGCTGCGCTCCTTGCGCGCGCACCACGGGGTAAGATGAAGTCGGCCGAAGCACACCCTGACGGGCGAACTGCTGGAAACGGTCGCGGCACAGGCACGGCACGCATCCACGGCTGGCTCAAGCCCGACTTCAAATCCAAGGAGACTGCCGCGTGGGGACTCATCGGGATTGAAGGCCCCGCCTGCACCTGGGCCAGTACCAGGTGGTTAGAACCGAGAAAGAAATCAATCACACGACAAGCCGGCGCACATGTGCCCACCTGTGGGGCCCACACCGAACACGGCAGAAAATCAAAGATACCAGCCTCTTGCAACTCCTGCGGGGTGGCATTGAAGTCGCCTCCGATGATGAACGGCTTGCCTATGCATCGCACGCGCTCAGAGATGCCCAGCAGGAGACTAACATTATCGGGCGACATACCCTGCCCCGCGTGCAAGTAGACATTCACCACGACAACGCCCTGCTTCAAAAAACCAGTATGACATGATATAGACGCCCTTCCTGGTGCAATCATGGCCGGTCTACCATCTTCCACGAACCCAAGGCCATGTCGAGCAGGTACAAGCGCGAGCAGCCCGCCAGATCCAGGAAGACCAGGCTCACACCCGACTGCAGGGAGAGCGAGAGCACGCCATCCAGCTATGACTAACTTTCCGACTGCATCGTCTCCCTGGCGCTGCCCCACGCGGGCGTCTTGCACAAAGATCAAATCTGCCTGTCTAACCAAAACCATCTCTAACAGCGGCTCGGAACTGGAGCACGCATTCACGTTCACCGCCAGCACCTCCCACTTGAACTCACGCTGGAAGCCGCCCACCAACACTGGGCCTGTCGTTCCCGAAGGGGGCCGAGCAACAGTCGACGACCTCCCCTGGGAGGCGCGGGGGCTGGCCGTCGCCCCCCCCCCGCCTGGCCGCTGCAGCCTGGCGGCTTGAATCCATCACGAAGGGGAATACCGTGCACATCGTCTCCTGAGCCCGGGGCAATGTCAGTAGGCGGCTGCCCCAAACGCCCTGACCAAGAAAGACGCGGTCCAGCGGCGGGAGAGGCGGCGCCCCCCGACTGTCCCGCCTCGGCAGCGCCACTGCCCAAGGGGCCGCCGCCTTGTCGGCCCAGGGGCCGCGCCTCTCCTGCAGACGACCCGATCCGAGAAGTCGACGCCGAGGGCCCAGTCGACGCTGAAGTCCCTCTCCCATCTCCATCGCCAGCTCGTGCGGGTCGGCAGCACGCAATCCTGAGAACGCCGTCGCCATGCTGCTCCGCGTCGCGCTGCCTCTCGCGGCGGATGGCAGGCACGACCTTGCCCGACTCCCCCGCCCACTCGGCGTCCACCTGGTTGCACTCCCAGAGGATGTCGAAGTGCACCATGCCGCGGGGCTAGGGAGAAGACACAGCAGGAGCAGCCTCGCCCACGCCATGCTCAGAACGCGCCCGATTGCTGGCCACCTCGGCCTGCAGCTCCGCCATGAGGGCCCGACGCTTCTCAGCGTCGGGCGTGCGCATGCCTTCGATGTCCGCGTCCTGCTCGCGCAAGAACTCGTCCCAGGCGATGTCCTCGTCGGCGGGCACGTGGATCGCGACGTCGCCTGGGGGCTGCTGGGGCGCCTGGGCTGCGGCGGCCCCCGCAGCAGGCCCCTCGCCATCGGGGGCCTCCACGGCGCCCGACGGGGGCGGCGCTGGGGTCTGCACGGCCACCGCCTGGAGCAGCGCGGTGAGCGGCGCGGCGAAGTTGGCGCCGACCTGCGCCTCCCATCCAGGGTGGCCCTGCAGCACGGCCACCACCTGGCGGGCCGCCTCAAAGCCCGACGGCTTGGGCCGCTGCGGGGCGTCGACCCCCACTACGGCCAGGCGGTCGCGCTCGGCCTTGAGCACGGCGAGCTCCGCCTCGACGGTAGCCTTCTGCTCCTTGGCCTCGGCGAAGGCCAGCATGGCGGACACGGCGGCGTGTCGAGCCTTTTTCGCAAGGTTCCCTCAGCACGTAGTAGTTCGTCGGCAATCTTATCCACCTGCTGCTGCGCACCCTGAGCCAACTGCACAGATCCACGGAGCTCATTCGCCTTGCGCCAGCGCATGTGCTTGAGCTTGTCCCGAGCACTTTGGGACAAAACGGCTGCAGCAGCATCGAACTGGTCCGTCGACATCGAACGCCAGATTTGCAACCGTTCATCACCGAGATGCCCAAAGCCCGCGGACGAAGGCTTCGCAGGCAACTTACCTTTGGACTTATCCCCTTTGTCGGCACCCTTACCCTTACTCTTGTCCTTTTCCCGAGGCTCCACTCGCGGCGGGCGGTCCCAGCAGCCACTTCCCACGGGACCCCTCGATCCACGGCGGGGTACTGCCAGGAACAGGGCCAGACGGGCAATGACCATTGCAATTGGGCTGCCTGCATCGCTTACGGAAACCATAGTTCTGATACCCACACACTGCGCAACCCCAACAGGGCATGGACATAGCGTGTGGTAAAAAGTTCGATCTAAAACCTCACTTGACCCGGTCGTGAGGAGTCGCAAGCGGGGGCCGCTGACTCCGCCACGCCAATAAGGTCAAGTCCTGAGCCCGAAACGGCTACGGACTTGGGCCAAAATGGCTACGGATGGGGAGGTCCTCCTCCTCCTCCTCCTCCTCCTCCTCCTCCTTCTCCTCCTCCTCCTCCTCCTCCTCCGATTCCTCCTCCTCCTCCTCCTCCTCCTCCTCCTCCTCTTCCTCCTCCTCCTCCTCCTTACGAGACCTATGTTGCATCACAGCAGCAATTCGGCCCCTGACTTTCGTCCTGGGTTCGGTTTAGTGAAGTGATGCATTTCGGGGTCCTTACGTGGGGAAGGAAAAAAAAAAAAAAAAAAAAAAAAAAAAAAAAAAAAAAAAAAAAAAAAAAAAAAAAAAAAAAAAAAAAAAAAAAAAAAAAAAACTTCACTCATCTGGGGCCCCTGGGGCCTCAGCGGGCGCTGAGGCCCAAACTTAGTGACGTGATGGTTTTCGGGTCTCGTCCTCCTACCTGTGGTAGTGGTGGTGGAAAGTTTGCCCATCAATACTGCGGACCAAGGAGTAAGAACCCCTAAGCACAGGCTCTGTTTGGGGAACGAGGTCGCAGGAGCTTGTCCACAAGCGGAGCTACACCAGCACCGACATCCAGTGATGGAAGAGCCCATGCGCATCACCAGACCCCCGCAGGTCGATGCCTACCATCACGGGAAGAAGCGCCATCCATGATAATGACCTCTGCGCATCGCGCCTCGCGATGCGATGCGCGACCATCTTCGCGACCTCGCGCCGCCGCAGTGGAGAAGAGCGCCAAACCGACCCGCGATGCGGCGCGAAGCGCGATTATCTTCGCACCCCTCGAAAGGACCTAGGTTACGCTGCAACACTCCTCCATCTGCATCTCCTCTGCGCCTCCACCTCCCCATCCTCCTTTCCTTCCTCCCTTCTTCCCTCCTCAACTGGCGGGCGCCTATTGACGTAGGTGTCCATGTCCGTGACGCGCGGCATGGCCATCGCCTGCTGCGCTCCTTGCGCGCGCACCACGGGGTAAGATGAATGATAATCCGAAACACATTACGGGTTGAATCTTCGCGAGACCTTGGTGGTGGTATGTAGCTGTCTTCTGTGGATTGGAGAGCGACGACTGCAGGGCGACCTCCCGGGCCAGAGGGGCCTCCTGGATGCGGCACTCCCCTAGGCTGACGACAGCACCTTCGGTGCCCCTAGCAAGGGCCAAACCAAAGTAAGCCTCCTGCTCCTCATACTCCCCCTTCCTCATGGAGGTCCCCACCCCGGGGGTCTTTGGAAGTCCCTGAAGTCCCCCCGTCGGTCTCCGAACGTATCCCGAAAGGGGCCTTCAAGCCCCGAAACACTTGATGAGAACCCCACATGGGACTGACCCCTCGCCTCCTCCGACCTCCCACGCCTCCGCATCCGCCCCAATCCTCCTCCGCCTTCTCTTCCTCCGCCACTGCTCCTCCTCCGCCTCTTCCGACTCCTCCGCCACCTCTTCTTCGTTCTATCCCTCTTCCTCCTCCTCGCCGAATTTTCCTCACCATCCTCTGCCTCGTCCTTTCTTCCTGACGGTAGGCGACCAGTGAGGCCACGCTTGTCGCATCCTTCCAAAGGAACATGAAGCTCCGATTTAGCCGGAGTGGGCAAACAAAGTATGTCGTGACAGGTGCATTCAAGGTAAGGCCAAGAGAGAAAAGTGGCCCGACGGGCCAGAGGTAACCTAGTCCACGGCGATGCACCATGAGGGGAGAGAACAACGATACATAATGAATACCAGATATACGTAGACCATGTTGTCGTAAACTGCATGAAAGCGTTCCACTGTACAAGGCGTAGCGCAAAGAATGTTCGTCCCTCCTCCCCCATCCGAACATAGCCAAGAATTCCTGCGCCTTAGCATGGCGTTACGGCTTGCCGGGTCGCACTGTCTGGAAGTGAATGGCAGAGCCCATCTAATAATTGGTACTGGCTGGCCAAAGTTGTTTAGACACTGTAGCGTATGTGGTCTTAGGAACGTGCATTCGAGCATTAACCTGAGTACCCCCTGTATGATTGTAAGCCTGAGGTGAACTGCATGCTCCAAGGGAAGGGCAAGGATCTGAATAGTGGGCCAAGAACAGTATAAAGATCAGGGAGCGACAGCGGAACCACAGTGTGCAAACACTGGAGAGGATGAGGTGAGGGAGTAGGAGGGCTATCAGTACACGATGTCCTGGCAGTCAGTGTCGAACGCGCAGTAGCTGTCGTGGGAGATGTGAGATCGGAGGCCTGTGGAGTCTGCTCTGCATCCCCAATATGATGTATGCTTCGGTCGGTATGTCGGATACTTTGGCTTGGGCTTTGGTGCTTTGTGCGGTGCTGTCATCTCGCTCTAGTGGTGAGTCGTTCGGAGTTGCGTGTTGCGTCTGTCTGTTCACTTGTTCCATTTACTCCTGGTACTGCTGCTGGTGGTTGCGGAGTGTGGTCAAGTGGTGTTGCAGTTGCATGTCGTTTGTCGTCGACGCGGAGCGTGTGGTAGTGGCTGTCCTCAGCTGGCACTTGTGTGCAATCAATGCTTTCATCGAACATTGGTGGTGTAGCCGTTCGTGGAAAGTATGCTCTGATGGTCGCCTGTGCCTGTGGCGCGCGCTCGCTGGGCGGAATGTCGGCTAGCCAAGAACATTGTGCGGCTTGTGTGCTGGGTGGTGGGCTGACCAACAGAATTTTGAGCATCGGTGGTTGTGGGTGTATTGGGCTTCGGATTGTCCTGTTGCCTGCAGGGTCGTCGTCGTCCTCCTCCTCCTCCTCCTCCTCCTCCTTCTCCTCCTCCACCCCCCCCTGCTCCCCCCATCCCTCAACTTCTGCCTTGGCCTCCTCCCCCGCCCGCTTCCCCATCCCGCGCGCCAACGCGCGCCCGGGAACGCCCTGGCGCACGGGAGAGAAGTGTTTTGGGGGCGGGGGAGGGGCGAGGACGTCTCTTTTTGCTGTGGACCACTGCCAGCCAAGCTCCCGACGAGATTGCCGGACAGGGGGAAAATTAGCAGACTGTACATCAATGAAGGGTTGTCGACAGTGCTACCCCAATCAAGACACTTCCTTCCTCTTTGGAGGTTCCGGGGATCTTCAGACCCCGGTCAATCCAGACCTGGGTTAGTCAGGCCTTGCAAAATCCTGCAAGATCCTGCACCCAAACCCGGGTCGATGCGAAAGATCCTGCAGGATCCTGCACCCAAAACTGGATCCATGCGGCCCTGGCCCTGCAAGATCCTGCAAGATCGGGCGCTCTGGCTGAGCCCCGTTTGCATTGACCCCCGTCCCAAGGCTCCCGAAGGTTTACCTTGGAGGGGCGAGGATCGGGAGCAGGGCGGGCGCAGGGAGGGCGCAGGGCGGCGGCAGTTACCACGGCCACGGCGACGGCGACCTGGACATCCGACGATGCGACTCTGTTAGCGCGCGGCCTCGGTGGTCCGGGCCCCTTCTCTCGGAGGGACCTCGTCTCGGCGACTCCGAAGGGTGTGGCTTGCAAAAGGTGTGGTTCACAACCGGCACCCTTAGAAGCCTCCTAGATGGGGTCGGAGTAGAGGGGGTCGGAGGATCGCGCCGCATCGCCGATACATCGGCGATGTATCAGCGATGCATCGGGGAAGCATCGGCGATGCAACGTCGATATCGGCGATGCATCGGCGACGTCGACGTGAAGCAAATCGGGCTGCACATCGAGCCGCATCGGCGATGCATCGGCGATGCGGCGCGATCCTCCAACCTCATCTACTCCGACCCCATCTGGGAGGCCTTGAACCCTGGGGGGCACCCTGGGGGGCGGGCGGGAACCTCGATCGAGTTCTCCGCCGCGCCCCGAGGAGCCGAGGAGGCCCGACGAGGACAGTGTTGTGCCCCCAGGCCCCGACGGCGCCGATCGCAAACCACACCCCCGGCGCAACCACACCCGTTGTAGTCGCCGACGTTCGCCCCAGGTTCATGTTCGATGGTCCCTGGGCGGCGAGCTCGTTCCACTACTCGCAAAGTAGCTACTCGCAAATGGCCTGGATACGCCACGGGGAATCTGCGATAAACTACATCCAAGCAGACATGTGTGTTTGGGAAGTTTGCGAGTAGGTACTTTGCGAGTGGTGGAACGCGCTCGGCGAAATGACGCCCCAGGCGCGCCAAGATCGAAGAGAAACGTAGAACCGTCGGGACTGAACAGCACCACGCCAAAACAGAAGCATCGTCGGAAGTCTGAGATGACGCCTGCGCCGGCGCCGACGACCCACGGCCTCACGCCTCGAAACGTGCTCGCGGACTGGAAACAGGGGCGACACCACCAAAACCAGCGCGAGTCGCCACAGAGGGTCCTGCCCTGGTGGTGTGGCCTCCCCCCCCCATCGCTCGAGACAACACGCCACGTCCCCAGCTCCTCCTCCTCCTCCTCCTCCTTCTCCTCCTCCTCCTCCTCCTCCTCTTCCTCCTCACCCTCCTCCTCCTCCTCCTCCTCCTCCTCCTCCTCCTCCTCCCCCTCCTCCTCCTCCTCCTCCTCCTCCTCTTCCGGTGCCGCCTCTCCCCAAAACGAACGCACGAGGGATCCGCTCACAAACCGTGCTGCCGTTTGGAGCACGCCCCCGCCCACCTGTCGGGCCTCCCCCTGCGGGCGCGTTACGCGAGGCGGCGATTGATCCACAACCAACGCCAGCGGATGGACCGTCGGGAACCTCGGCGGGCGGCGGATATAGATAGAATTGCCCCCCTGGGCCCGAATGTATGCAGATCCACTGCCTGGCGAACTCCCCGAGGATCGATTCCCCGAACGATAGCCATGGACACGGACTCCGAAGTTCATAATGAAGGGGAAGGTGGTCTGACCTTGTAGGAGTCTGGTTTGAGCTGTCTTGGACGATTCTGGGAGGTCTGGGCAAAAGGCCGCTCTTCCTTGGCGGCGGTCTTGGGGGGTTATACAATTGCTCGTCCGGGAGGGCTGTGCCCCCAATCCTTTTTAACGGCACTGGAGGCGCCCAGGGGGTTTGAGCTGGTGGGGCCCCGAGAAGTCGGTCAAGAGGGGGGGATCTGATCCCGAAAGCAAATCCAATCAAAATCAGCTCCCAGACGGGAGGGCCATCTGGTGCAATGCTTCATCCCGCAGATCCGTTTTTCACGGCCATGGGTTCCGGCAAAGGACCTGGAGACCGAAAAGGCAACAAAAACGCTCCTCGAACCCAGAATCTGAAACTTCCCCGTGGCGCCAAAATTTCCATCGGGGAGACGAAAAGACGCGTGCTTGGAGGACCCGGGTTGGCCTGACGGGGCAATCATGGGAAAAGACGAGGCACAATTATAAATTCGACGCGAGCTCCCGCTGCAAACGTCCCAGGAAAACTGGACCGTCCAAATCAAGGACGGGCTCCTCAAAAAGCGTCGGCACACACGACATCTGGTGCACTCGAGTCTTACGCTGCCACGATCCCAGAGAGGGGGCGCCGCGAAGAGGCGAGGGCGATCCCAGGAGCACGGGCAGCGCCGAGCCCAGCGCCCCAACATATTTTTTCCGGCGGTGGCGTTGAAGAGGCGGTCCGCTCCAGCGTGTGGCAACTCGGGGCAACCGAACGGTTCATCCAACCAGGCTTGTGGGCGCAGGTAGTCTAACGATGTCTTTCTTTCCTATTCCCCCCAAACAACCAAATCTGTCACTTTTCGGGCGAGGGTGTATCATTGTTCCTTATTAATAGACAGCCCAACCGGGCCCGGCGGCCAACCCGGAACCATGCCGACTCCACGCGGGCCCGCCCCACACCATCCCTTTCAAAAAACAATACAAACCGCACTGTGCCTCCAAATTTGGAGCATGCGCGGCCAAACCCGGGGCGCCCCCCCCACCATGCCTGCCAAAGAACAGTGCAAACTACAATTTGGAGCAAAATCTTGATTCATCTTCGCGGGGCCCGCGAGCATTTTGTAGTGTTTTTGACAGGGGCGGCGGACATGTCAGCATATTCCCTGTTGCGCGCAGAGCTACCATCCCTGACAAAAAAACAAATCAACA